TAATTAATATTCCCACGTATATAATTAATATGTATAATGCAATTTATTAAATGCATTTATATATGCTAATTGTAATTAAATTATGAGACACGGAAGGTTAAAGTTATAGTTAATCTGACAGGATTGTACGCTGTTATCGAAAGAGATAGGCCTATCCGGTCGATGATAATTGCGATCGTTGCAATTATCGTCGGCTGAGAGAAAGAGAGAACGGGACAGAGTATAAATTATATCGATTAAAAAGATTGGCATCTCGCAACTTATTAACGATGGCATCCGCGATATAGGTTCGTGCTGCGCATCGATCGAAAGTCTCGAAAATGGGAGTACACCATATGCCATACGGGAATAAACCGACATGGTATGCTCCTTCTCTCAGAGAGAAAGAGAGAGAAACCGCTATGTGTAAAGCCCTTTGAACATTGTAGCGGGACGAGGAATTATGAACGAGAAAGCCGGATGATCGACTGTCGGACGAAGCAGGTGCTTCTTCGCAAAGTTGCCCGTTTTACCGCGCTTTATCTTGTATTCCATTCCGCTTCATCGCGCGATACCTTCGGAATCAATCATAACGCGATATCGCGCCACGTTTACCGCGGTTATCATTTCCCAGGTGTAATTGTGTCGTCGTAGCGCACACGTTACATATTTAATGGCGATAATCGCGGAGCAGGCGTAACGACGCGTGCGTATGTAAATGAGAGAATGTGTGTGGCGTGCGCTCTCGCCATGTACCATCGGTTCACATGCTCCTCGTTTGCATCATCGTTATCTAAACTCTTCTTTTTTTTTTTTTTTTTCTTTTTTAACGTGGACCGCGATATCGGAATTGTTGCATTCTCCCTTGTTCTCGCGAAAGTAAACAACTAACAGCGGCAGAGTTGTGTGTGTAATGCTCTTTTCGAAAAATTAACATATATAAATGGATTTTATGTTATACTTTATAAATTTCATAAACATGGAGAAATTGGAAGATTTTATTATTATAGCGGATTCACTCAATCTGAAAATAAAAATCATAGAAAAAAAAAACGCCATTGTCGGCAGTATCGTATATCTTTAGATTCTACTAATTTTTTCGAATACGATTTATATCGCGCGTTATTTGTGCGACCGTTTCTTTTACGATTTAATTTTTAGTATTATTGACGCGGAGTCGGCAACAGCAACGCGGCTCGATCTAGCACCTAATTTCTTGTTCTCTCTGGCAATAACATAAGCCATAATGATGATACTGGTCGTATCCGATGCCGATAAATATTTCTGATGACTCGGCGGCTGTCGTAAGACCCCGAGATCTTGAGACCTCGGAAGCCCTTTCCCGTAATCTGTGCGCATATAAGAGGAGGATGGCCATTAAAGCCGAACGGCGCTAGTCGACGATTATTTCTCAGCCTCTAGAGGAATGTCGCGCAGGCGGTATGTCTTTTTTTATAAAGAGAACTGCCTCTGGTTGAACTTTTTGGTAAACAGTATTGAAAAAGTCTCAAGACTTTCATCTTTTAATTACTTGCGAATTATTTGATTAAAAGATATATTCTGTAAATATACTGTTTTTGAAATATATATAATTTGCAAAAATAGATTATATATAGAAAGAGAAAGATACATAGATTATATACAAAAGGAGCTATAAAAAATAGTATTTCGAAAGAACGCACGCTGATTGGATGCCGATTTAGAAATAACTTCACACAACGTAACGACAGTCCTAATTTAATCATCACTGTGTCTTGAATTTGAATCCGGAAAATACGGTAGTCATACATCAGTTGCTTTCAACTGATGGCAAGCGTCTTATCGGGGCCGTTCCGATTTATAGTTTCAAACGGCGATATCCAGAGAAAGTGAGGCGACGAGAAAGAAGGAAATCGCGGCGGGAGCTCTCAAAGGGACATTTATCGAACGATTTACAGCTTTTGACAGCCCCCGTACAGTGACAACGGCCGGTCATAATTTGTTTACTCGTATTGTCGCTCATTAGCGGCTGGTCTAGCCGAGAATTATGTACGACGGAAGAAGAAAAAGGTTTTCATCGCGTCGGACGCGGGGAATCGACATCCCGTTTCTATGATACACGAGGCGACCGGATAGATCTTGGCCTTCCGTATGTGATTTCAATATGATAACGTACACACATCCGTTTTTCTCTTTTTATATCTCTCCTCTATGATCTCCGAATGAGATAAAGGTTATACACAGGCGTTACTTTGTGAATATAATTTCGGACATTTGTGTCTAGATTCCTTGAGAAAGTATCGTGTCAACTCGCTTTATGTATCTCCGCGATAATTATTTCCGAAGGCATGAATATACATTAAAGATGAGATGGCTGTTTACACGTTTCGAGCTGATTTTTTAATCGATCGAAAACACAGATAGCCGACGCCACCCGTCATTCGATTAATTTGATGCGTGCGCGAATCAATTAAATGCCACGTGACGCTCGCGTTGCTTGGAAAAATGGCTGCGCTCTGTGAATGTCTGTCTGCATTCTTGTTTCTTAATTGTTCTTAAATTAGCGATATTGCCGAATCCGCGTAGATGCCCGTTTCGCGTCTTATGTAACACATTCCAACGATTCTTTTTGCTATCATGAATCTGTTGCTTCTCTTAATTTTATATTGTTGTGTTTCTTATGCAACGACATAACAATAATATAATAAAATATACAATAAAATAATGTAATAATGTTATAGAATACATATTTCATGCGCGAAAAGAACACACAGAAGCGATTTTTTAAACATTATGCAATCTACTGATCACATGGCCGTCAAAATAAAAAATAAAGAATTATTCGCGTCCTGTAGAATTTGCGATGAAGCGCCGACAGCGTCACGCTCGTCAGAGGATTCCCCCGCGCGCGTCCTCCCGCAGGATATTTTGGCTCACATAGCGCGGATAATCCGGCTTAGTGTCCTCTACGACATGAATGAGAACGGCGTCTCGTTTATCGCGAACGAATGTGCCATCGAGCCGAGTCGGACCGAAAGATCCTGTCTCTTCCTCGCTCGCGCCGAAATTCCACGGGGTACGGGACGTATCTCTCAACGGACGGACAGTAGGCAGATGCTACCAGAAAAATCCTTACGGCGCGTTGCTACCTTTCTTCGCGATACCTTTGACGTTTCGCGAGACGAACGGTCGATCCTTTTTAAGAGCCTCCTTCGATCGATATCCAGCAAGAGTTTAAGAATTAGGGTTTATAATAGGATTTTTTTTTTGTATGGAATCGTTTCGATTAGCTTCTTAATTTTCATATGTAACTCGTGTAAATGAATATAAAATAGTTTTTATTTCTGTTATTTGACGTTTATCATTTTATTACTCAAAGATTCGTAGTTAATATTTTCACTTTTAAATATTTGTGTTTGACGTTTTATTTTACTTATTGTTAGAACATAAATGATTTATTAAAAGCAGATTATAGTTTGATCAAGCGCATCATCGCCTTTAAATCGAGACAAGGGATAAGGTTACAGATAGTGTTTTTGCTATTATGTAAAGACTGCCTGTACAGAGTCTAGATCTACCCGGGTGTGTGTCTTGTCTTGTATATTTCTCATCTTCTACAACTGTTACGTCATAATGTCTCGATCTTAATGTGACTGAGATTTGATGAATTTACTGCACCTATTTACAATAATGTAATTTTTCGTCGCAATATAATCGTGAGAAACTACTTACACGCGCGTTTAAGTGCGTTATCAAAGAGAGAGAGAGAGAGAGAACGAGAAAGAGAGTTTGAGAATATAATATAATTGTTATCTCTTGGATTTTACACTCAGAGCGATGAAACTTGGGTAGCATGTTATAAAAAAAAACTGTTGGAATATACTTTGGTATAATACTTAATATGTATTGTTTTTTATGGTAAACGTAAATTATAAATTGATGAGTCACGTCTACCATTTGACCATTATTATTATGGTAATTATTTTCTGTGTAACATAATTCTCGAATAATGTGATAATACTTTACGAGTTTAATAGATCTTAATGCATGTGTGATATAATAATTAGTCTGCATGTATTTCTAACAAAACTTGTCAAATTTTTTTTTTTTTTTTTGATGTTCCAAAGTAGCATTTTGCGATACAAAAGTTCGGAATTTTTTCTACGCGCATTTTAGCACGTGCAAACAGCACAACTTCAGCGTGATCTTTCATCGTATGGAATCTTGGCTCTTCTCGAGAAAAACACGGTTGCGTGTAACTTTCCATTATAGAATCAGCGAGCTATACAACCGACGATGGATCTCGTGTTTCATCCGAAAAACGTGATTCCGAGCCGACGATTTTTCCAGGTCTCTCGCGGCACCAATATACCTCCTCTCTCCTTCGTCTCGGATATAATTCCTTCGGACAAACGCGCCGAGCGTATCTCGACGGCCGCTACCGGGATGCGTAGCACGGCCGTCGTCGTCGGTTTCTGGCCCGGGGTCCGGTTTTTATTCCAGGGAACGCGCCTCGGAAGCCACCGGCGCGTCCGCCGTCTGACAGCGGCCGGGATTGACTCGTGCACGTTTCTATTCCGACCTTTCAGGATTCTACCAGGTGTCGTCGACGTGACTTCGCGGCCGCGCGTTCCACGGAATGCGCACGATTCGTTCCTCGAAGACATTTCAGGAGTGAGAACTCTTCGAATCGTAATCGTGAGAGGAAAACGATGACGGAAAGAAAGCGACGAAGCTCTTCGCGTTTTAGATATAATTTTAATATTGGGGAGAGGAGAGGAGAGAGGATATCGAAGAATATAATCTTTGTCTTTTTTAGGAAGATAACGAGAGAAAATTATTTTCAGCATTATACACACATTGTGCGAGATATATTTTTTTAAATTATTAACATGAAATGCGCGCGAATAATACAAGTGATCAACAAAGTGATTTAAAATAAAACGCGATGATTATACGAGTTGCATGATAGTTTAAGATATATACCTCGTTTAATCGAGCAAATAATCTAATCGAACTGTATATGTTGATCGGGGGTCTAGGCAGATGTTTCCTCAGATGAAGTTCCGAGTTTCCGGCCTGGATGCTAAGGCCAAATACATCCTTCTGCTGGACATTGTCGCTGCCGATGACTACAGATATAAATTCCACAACAGGTAGAGGTTTTGCGTGGTATAGGGAAAAGCGGAGGCACTTGTGAAAATATAATTACTATTGCGGACAGCTCGTGTTAACGATCTCAAGAAACGAGCGTTTCTTGAACCGCGATCTTTCGATATGATATACCACAATTAATACTTACATTTTATTATTACCTTCTTTGTTTTTAATATTAGTACACGTGTTCCTTTTATATATAACAGTTTTTTTTTTTTTTTCAAAATTAGCTTTATGATAATAGTTTTCGATGTTTGATAAGTTTTGAGATGCTTGTCGAGATTTTTAAGATTGGTTGTCCGCCGAAAGGCACTGTATCCAAGGATACGAGTTTTATGCACGGTTCCCCTTTTCCGTGGGAACATTAAAGAAGCTCAGCAGTGAACGACAGAACTAACGTATGCTGTGTTTTTTGCGATCGCAAAATTGTTCGCAGACGCATGTTTCCCGCGTATAAAGTGAGGGTGTTCGGATTAGACAAGCAGGCTAGCTACATACTTCTAATGGACATCGTGGCATCGGACGAATGCCGATATAAATTTCACAACAGGTGATATTTTTGACCCTGCGCGATCGAAGCGATCCTGGATCATTCTTTTTTCGATCTACGAATTAAAGACACGATTCTAATATTTGAGAGATTGAAAAATATACTTGATTAAACATTAAATATTATTTTCATAAATAACAATATATATGTTGGATTTTTTTTTTTTTTTTTAAATAATGATCCGGGATCGATCTTGATCGAACTACACTGTTTTCACCAAAAAACTCTCTTAAAATAAGTGTGGAGCGTGCGCTGCGAACAATTCCTCATACTCGTCGAAAATAATTTATTTCTCTGATCCTGTGCACCTTTTATCGCGATCGTGTGTTAAAATCCGATTAATTTACCCCATCATGCGTAATAAGTTCAACGACTAATTCCTGTACAGTTCTCGTGCGAATAATCAATTGTATACAATATTTCGAAAATAAATTGGTAAATGCTTAATTAATAAAAAATTTATGTTTGTATATATACTGCCGTGGAGCAATATTTTTAGAAATAATGATTTGATTCTCCCGCAGAAATGCCACATAGGGGAAGGGCTCATGGGAAATTATTTCGACTTGTATGGGGATCGCAAGCCTTCACATTAGTTAACCGAGATGCCTTGCAAATTTCGTAACCCCCGTATTTCTCAAAATTTCGACAGCATAAATATATCGTATATATTTTTGAATATAATTCTATAAAAAATTATATAACGCACACTTGTGCGTCACAGTTTGAATTCAGAAATGATTTTATTTGCTATACTTTCGTCAAAGGTTTCTCTTGAATTTGGGCGAGCGCAAATATTTGCGTAGCTAAAAGTGAACAACCGTGTGTTTCTTTCGCGTACTTTCGCGCACTTTACGACGGCCGCGCGCAACTTTTTCGCGACAGATATCGACTCTCGGCTCGCGTTCCGACAGAAGGGACTCGATTGGCGCTTCTCCACCTCGAGAAAATTCTTGCGAAGCATCTCGGATACCTCGACGCGACGTTCGGACGATCGAAACGCAGACCACAATGAACGATTACATCATGCCGTCGACCGCAGCCACTTTGGAGAGAACTCGTCGAACGAGTTCTTCCTTCGGTCCTTCGCGCTCGAGTTTGACCCACCTGCGACGACTACGAACGGCGGACACGCCTCCTTTAAAAGAGACAATAATCGTGCCCGGTTGATGCTCGCGGCGAACGAAACTACTCGAACTAACGAGGAGCACTGTTCCTCCTTTTGGCTCATTCTAGATTATCGATTTTGTCATCTATGTTGAATGATACGTAGAATTATCAATATTTGCTGCGAGGAAATTGTTAAGATTTATTTATGATTATTAAAAATACGACTAACTTGTTGCCGATCTGTGCTACAGTCAAAGTCTAGGTAGACAAAATATTGATTAAAAATTAGGCAATAAATTATAATGGAAAATTAATTTTTTTTTTTTTTTTTTTTTTTTATGCAGTAGATTTTGTAAACTAAATATTCTTCACAAATCTCTTCTTTTTTGAGGTGTGAAAACTAAAGAAATTAACGTTGAAGTAAATTACAGTTTATTTCGCCGAGATATATTTTTCTACGGTCTGCGTTTCGGTCCGAAATTTATCCTAGGTAACGACAAAGATCGTTAGTACGCTGCATCTTTGTCGTTGTCGAGGCATGTTACGTGACGAACTGCACCCGGTAACTTTCTAATACATTCTTACGCATGTTGGCGAACAGTAGGTGGATGGTAGCGGGTAAGGCGGATCCGGAAATGCCGAAGAGGATGTACATACATCCGGACTCGCCCAGCAGCGGCGAACAGTGGATGCAGAAGGTCGTGAGCTTCCACAAACTCAAGCTCACCAACAACATCAGCGACAAGCACGGCTTTGTAAGTACTGTACGTAACGCCAACCAAACAATTACTTACTTACTAGCTACTCTTTAAGCTTACTTTTTTGGTTTGCAATTAATCGCTAATTTTTGGATCAACCTGGAACGCGCTCACACGACAGGCCGATTCAAAATGTGAAACGATCGTAATCGAATGTACATGCATGCGACATTCTTTGCGATGCTTTTCACAACGATGACGAATTTTTATATTCAGCTAGAATTTTACCAAAAATAAAATATACTCGTTTAAATATAACATTTTCACATAGAATATTAGCGCAGAAAAACATCAGTAGAGCTAATGCTTTCCTATGTAACAGATTTATTTAGTATACGATTTGAGAATTTTATCGGTATACCGGTAAATTTTTTTGTGTCCGAATAATAATCCCCACGTTAATCGTATACTAGCAAAGAGGCCGGAGGATTCGCGAGAAACCGGAAACGGAGCAGTCGCGTTCCTTCACAACGGCCCTGAAAGATTCTGTCAGGCGCGCGCGATCGGATTTCCGCGCGGATACCTTAACCGCAGCGTAATCCCCGGATTAAGTTATCGCGATGGATTTCGCCGTCAAGTAGTTTCGCCTGCTTCCCTTCCCCCGCTTCGCGCGTTCCTCTTATTCGTCTTCTTCTCTATTAGCCTCGGCCGCTTGTTCCCTCGACCCCTTTGGCTCTCATTCTCTCTTTCTCTCTCTCTCTCTCTTGTCTTTTCTTTCTCTGACACAAGGGTGCGCGGAAGCTAGCATTAACTAAAGAAGAAGCCCGCTCCCCTCTCCCTTTCTGCGGCCATGGTGGCTCTGTCTCTTTTTCTCTACCTCGTTCTTTTTCTTTTTTGCGAATCCTTTTTGCGGCCAACCCGTCGGCGCCCTTTGAAGGATCTTGCATCGCTGGCTCGTGAAATCTAGTCCTCCTTACCCAGAGCTCACCGATGTCAATGGCTGGCTGTCGCGCAGTGCGTGGCAGACCGACCTTTGTTAAGACCACTCTCCTACCTCCTCCTCCCGTTTCTTCCCTTCTCATCTCCTTTCTCTCTCGGCGTCTATCCCTCTCCTTCTCGTAAACACTCGCGTAAACACGTCTACGCGCCAGGTGAAGGAAGAAAAGTGGACGAATAGCCATGAGAGAGCGAGCGAGATGAATGTATGAGGGAAATCGAAAAAGTAAGCGAGGAAGATAGAGGGAGAGAGAAGAGAAGGAGGGGGGCTAGATAGAAAGAACGAGAAGGAACAGCGGGCAGATTGTCGTCGAAAAGTAATGTGGCCACGACATTATGCATGGTTCACCTACATCGTGTGACAGGGCAGCGGGCGTGCGTCTCTTCCGTCCTTAAGGACCCTTTCCCTCTCTCTCTCTCTCTCTCTCTCTTTCTCGGAGTAATGTAGAGAGATCGGATCCAGTTTGTGCACGAGCCCAGAAAATGCCTCTCGAAAAAACCCCCCCCGAACCCCTTTCTCGCGTCGCGGCTAATAGACGACGACCCTTTTCACCTGGCCCAACCCTTTCCAGATTTACGAAAGATCTGGTCCAGGAGAGGGTTCTTTGAAGGATTATGTATTTTTTCACGCTATCTCAAAAGCGAGTCTGTAAGAGCGATCTCATATGGATACGGTGGAGTACACACTTATTGAAAAAGCGAGTATATGATTATTTACTGACGTGGAATATGAAAGATACGTTTATTTAATTTTATTTTTTAGAGCATGCACTAAATTTAAAAAAATGAACATAAGTGCAAGAATAACGCAAATATTATTGACAATTCTAAATTTGGACATATATTAAGACCGACACATTATATTATATTATCATTTTTAAAAAGTTAATACTTAATTAAAGATTTATAATAATAATAAACAGGATTGCGATTTTTTGCTACTTACGCAAATCCATTAGACCATTAGTAGAGCGTGTAGAGAGTTGTTATGAGTTAAGTTTAAAGATGCATCTTGAGATTTGACTTCAAGTTTAACCCTAATTTCCGCCGAGGTTTAACCCTCTTCTGATTATCCTACTTAGCGAAGGCAAAGGTCTGAGAGGGAAAAGCAAAAAAGAAAAAAAATTAGCGCAAACACCTCGGAATCCTCTCGAGTCTAATCTCGGCGTCTTGAGGGAAACGGGGAGGGGGAAGAAGAGATGACGACGCACCGGGCCCCTTTGTCGGGAAATCCTGGCGTGGCAAACAAAAACGAGACACTGCCGAGTCACGGCCCTTCGGGATGTCTTCGAGGGCGGAGGGCCTAGGTCCGCGAGTAAATATCGGTGAAAGGCCGTCAAGGACCGCAAACAGGACATTGACGGTACGCCACGAGAGACATCCCGTCGTGGCGACAACAGCGGCTGAAAGAACCTCGTTGCTCCCGTTTTAAAGTGACACCGCGTGCGCTTCCTCAGACGCTAGTAAGCATTAGGCGTGGGAATGTTTGACAGGATGAAAGCGCGGGGCGGACCCGATTTTAAATGGAAGCCGGGATATACGTGGCTTCATGATACGTCACATATATTCCATTATTAATTAACGAAAATATAATGATCTAAGCGTATATCAAAAATATGACGGAAAATAAATAAAATTTATTTGCATAAAAATAAGTACAATTTAGAGATCTCTTTCTTTCTTTCTTTCTTTCAATATAGACGTTGATATAAATGCATTATATGCATCATATGCATTGCCGCCTTTAAATTATCGTTACATATCATTTACATATTGCATATTATCGTTTACATATCAAATATTATATATATTTTCAATTTTTTAACTAGCCCTGGGCGCAATCCGGTGGCAACTCTCCGCCACAGTTTATTATTGTCGATGCGATCGTTTCTTTTTTTTGTGGTTGAATCATGTTATCGTCATTATGGCTCGCCACTAATGAAATAGTTCAATTTGGTAATCGAACCTTCTCGCCGCGGGACACTCGAAATACTGGAAATACTGGAATCGCGACCTTCCTCCACGTTACTAAAGATCGTTTTCTCGATTCACTCGCAAAAACGTTTCTCTCGCTTCGTTCTCACCTTTCGACAAAATACTTGTAGCTATATCGAGCAAAGAATTATTTATATGTCAGCCTATCGAAGCGGTATTTATTACAAAGTATCCAAAGTCTTATCAAATCTGATGTTTTTTTTTTTTATCGATGTATTCAATAGCCGACTTTCTTGTCGACACGCGTGCATAATTCTTGCGGAAATATAATGAGAGGAATACTAAGCTCTTCCCTATTCAAAGAAATGAATTTTGCTTGACTCGGAGACATCAATGGAATAATAATCTACAACATCTTTCACATTTTGCCTTCCTTCTTCCTTTCGTCTAATATCCACGTTCAACGCGACTCACATCCGCTGAACGCAATATTGACGAATTGTTCGGCGAAGATACAGCCGAGAAACTATTTTGTAGGCGCGAAATTTCAGTATCTCTCGATACGTGCTCGACATATCGCTCGGAATTCCGTTCGAAATCAATTTCCAATTTTCGCCCGATAGCAGCGCATGCACAGGGGCATTCATGTCCGCGCGTCCGCGCGCGGGAAAAAAAGCATCGAGAAAACGAGGGGAAGGATTCCTTTTCCAATTTTGCGAAAAAAATTAAAACGGAGAACAATCGGTCTGTCGACCGAAACTCGATCAAATGTGCCTCGCAGCTTTAATTATCCAGCGCCCAACGGCGGAGCTTACAGAAGCACGGTCGAGCGGCGCTCGTGATTTGTTTAGTAATGGATACGTGTAGCTATAGCGGTGTTCGTTAGTTGACATTCAACGATAGACTGATACGGGATGCAGCTTATCCGAGAGATTTTTGCCTCGCGATATTTACGTTTCATAAGAGCGGACGGCTACATTCTTAAATCATATCTAGAACGATTCTCCCTCACGTTTACGATATAATTGCTCACTACGTAAACTTTGATCATTTGCTAAGAAAATAATAATCGCGAATACACGCGTATGATTGAGGGAGCGCGCGATTCTTGTAACGCAGCTTACGCATTTAGTACATGCGTATTGACGCAGCATGCAAATAGGACACGCGGTCCGCAAGCCGCAACACGCGCGCATACATCGAATACGCACGGAATAGTATCACGGTTCGCGGTCAGGATATTAGATCGTCGCTTCGCGACGCGACGCGACGCGGCGCGGCTCGTTGCGTGCGTCGCGTGCGTCGCGTGCACGCATACACGCATGCTCGTTCATTACTGCGGCATCGCGTGTCCTGAGCCCGAGGCGTCGTGCGTGTAAGCTTCGACGGTGGCTCGCGGGGGCCATTTTACTGTCCGTCGTGCGAGGAACACCGATTCGATACGTGTCGCGGACATTAAAGTTCGCTGCGATCTATCAGATGGAGATTAGTCACGAGAATCGCAACGAGATTGCGCACGTTTATACCGCGAGCGTTTTGCGTCGTCCGCGCGCGGAAATGTAGGCGATTGTTCGGAGAACACGCGTGAGATGTTTGTACCGGGTGTCCATTCCCTGGAAAAACATGGAAAACCTGGAATTCTCAGGGATTTCTTTTGTATCGTCGCGTGCACGCATACACGCATGCTCGTTCATTACTGCGGCATCGCGTGTCCTGAGCCCGAGGCGTCGTGCGTGTAAGCTTCGACGGTGGCTCGCGGGGGCCATTTTACTGTCCGTCGTGCGAGGAACACCGATTCGATACGTGTCGCGGACATTAAAGTTCGCTGCGATCTATCAGATGGAGATTAGTCACGAGAATCGCAACGAGATTGCGCACGTTTATACCGCGAGCGTTTTGCGTCGTCCGCGCGCGGAAATGTAGGCGATTGTTCGGAGAACACGCGTGAGATGTTTGTACCGGGTGTCCATTCCCTGGAAAAACATGGAAAACCTGGAATTCTCAGGGATTTCTTTTGTATCTGGAAAAATCAGGGAATTTTCGTGGAATTTTATTTTTATTGTAATTTTTGGTCATCAGAATTTAGCATTAAAAAACGCATACGAAAAAAAATTTATTTAGAAAGCGAATAAAAT